CGGGCCCCTCCCCCTCTCCCGCTCCCCGCCCGGCTTTTGGCATTGGGCGCCGCGGGGGGTCGCCCGGGCCAGGCGCCCCATATAAACCCCCTCGGAGGCAGCGTGCTTCTTTTTCTTCTTCGGGGGCGTCCAGCCGCCAGGTCCGCGGAGCCGCTTTGCCTGGAGCATGCGAAGCGGAGGACTGGTCGGTAAAAGCCCTGCTCCGTCTTGCTCCCGCAGCTCTCTTTCCATGATGCCCGCCCGCCCGTCGAGGCGGCTGCCTCTCTTCGTGCTGCTGGCGCTCTGCTCGGCGGCAGCGGTCCAGGGCACGCGGCCCCAGCCGGAGAAGAACAAGCGGCAAGCGCAGCAGCAGATCGTCCAGCCGCCCCAGCCCGCCGGCCAGAGCAAACGTGAGTCGTCGGGCTTCGGGGGCGCCAGGTGGAGGAAGGGAGGGTGGGTGAGAGCCCCCCCCATTTGGACGGGCGGGGCGGGGAGTCCGACGGGAGCAACTGGTGGCGACTTGGGGGCGAGGAGGCGAGCAGCTTCCCACCTGGAGCTGCCAGGAGCTTTGGCCGGGCTCGAAGGCAGCGGATCCGGGGGCTTCCGAGACAGGAGCTCTTTGCGCGACGAGACAAAGGAACTGGGGAGGGGGAGCCAGAAGCAGCCCCTTCCAGCACGCGTTAGAGACTTTCTGTTTGAATACTCTTACTTCCTAATTGTTGTAAAAAAAAACTCGGGAGAACGTCCTAAGCCGGTCTAAGTGTGTCCGCCTTTCCAATTTACACCCATTGTTCCTTAATCCGACGTTGCCGAAGCCGGCCTTTCTGGGCGTCGCGAGCAGCCTCTGCGGTCGGGATGTTCCGACCCTGAGGTGCTTTCAGGAGAGAAACATCTGGCCCTTCTAGCCTTCGTCAGGCTGAGGTGTGACTCGATGGAGGCGTCGTCGCCCTGGGATTCCCTCTGAAACCTCCCCACCCACTCACCCCTGTCCCAATTTGTGGCTTTTGTGACCTTCGTCTCAGGCGGTTCTGCCCCCACGCGTGGAAAGGTTGTCAGTTCCTCCCGCGGAGGGATTGAAAGAGAAAGGAAAGAACAAGTGATTTGGACTCTTTGAAGGAAACAGATGCCGCGAGGTGCCCCCTTTCTTGTCCAGGAATGTCTGGAAACATTTACTGGAGTTCTTGTAGTCGAAAGTGGGAAGGAAAACCTGCAGCTGGAGTTGGAGAGGTGGAGGGGAGGAAAGCCGCTTCTGGCACCCAAATCCGTAAAAACCCTGGGTCAGGCTTTCTAGGGAAGGTGTGGGGTGCAGCGGTTTCACCTCACCAGGAGAGAGGGAGAGAGGGAGAGAGATTGATATCTTTGCCTATTGCATTTATGCTCAGCTTTTTTTCTGTGGAAGCCTAGGTGGAACAGGATCAGGGTTTCCATCCAGACAGGCAACTCCCCTCCAGGCAAGGACCGACCCCAGCCCTTCTTGAACCTGAGATGTTCCTGCTGTGGATCTCCCTGTATTCAGTGGGATTGGTCCCAGAGTCAGTATGCAGAGGAGACTGCACTGGTGAAGAGCAATCCGAAGTGCTGGTGGGACTGGTGGGGAAGATGTGCCACCTCTGAGGCCCTGCTGAGTCACTCTGGCAGTGGGGAGAGAGGCGTTTGTTTGTTTTTTAACACACACACACACACACACACAGAGAGAGAGATTTGCAGATGCAATTATTTTATACAGTGCAACTCAACTTTGGGACATTGGACCCAACAAATGCCTGCTCTCTCTGGAATGGGCTCTTTTGAGTGGGGCCCCTAGTATGGTCAGAAATATAACCAAGATGCTTGTTCTGCAGACATGTTGAAGGCCTCCTTTCCTGAAATGCCATCCCACTGACCGAGTTCCTTTCTTCCAATTGAACCCTTAGCACTCCTACCACATCAGCGTTTCCCCCACTCCAACCATCATTAGGACTGCAATATAAACCTTTGATTTCCATCAGGTTAGCCATGTTTTAGTTCATGCATTTCCTGAACCAGGGCATATGCAAACTGGGCACTTTAACTAACATACAGGGCTGAATTCCTGTATCTTTGTTGGAGCGGCATGCTAGCAAGCATGGGTATTGGCTCAGGATTTGGGGATTGCAATTAACTATGCCGTTATTACCTTGGAAACTTCTTACTATGTATCATCTTCTGTTTCTCATTCCACTTGGTCCCACTCAGATCTTCACACCAAAAGTCTAGCCTTAGCACAGCCAACCAATTCCTCAAAATCCAAATCCTGAAAACTCAAGGCATTTCCACACACACATTTCTCGGATGTTAAAGTTATCAACACCTTAAATGTTCACTATCTGTCTTAATAACATCCTTGTTACCTTGAAAGCTCATAACCAGCTGTTAAAATGCAATTGCCATTTTTTTGTTTCCTGTTCTCTTGGTCCACTCGAATTTTATACACCATGTGCACTGCACATAAACCTGTGACCTGGGTATGGAACTCCGTGTGACGGAAGAAATGGATTGTAATTGGTGAAATACATTTGTCAAGGTTAAAGGTGTCACAACACTTCTATTTTTCTTAGGTTTAATCCACTTAGTCCTGGATAAAGCAGGTCCACTGGGTCAGTGGAAGTGGCATAAATACTGATGTCCCGTTTCATTCAATGGGTCAGCTCCAGCTATTCAACAAAACTCGATTTAGCCCTTAGGTTTGTGAATAAGTAAAGTTGTTGTGTTATCTAGAAGCACAATCCAGAGATCTAGTCATGCATCCTTTGCATTTTTCACCATACAGGTGTATCTACTTAAAAGGCAAGAAAAGTCACTGACTTAAGTAATTATTAATAGATTTCAGTTTAGTTCTTTTGTCTTCCGGGAAGGACACTGAGCAAGATTCCATAATTAAAGGTGAGGGCCTGCTACAAAGTTTAGCATGCTGGACTGTGGGCCCAGTGCTCAGAAATTTCCAGAAGCAGTGATAGTGGTTGCTCAGCCAAATGATGTTTCCACAGGAAATGGGGGTGGGGTGGAGTACTGATTGTACTGTTTAGCTGACATATGTAAATATTTATAATTTGACACAATATTAAATATAGGAAACTGCCATTGTACCCTATCTTTAATGTCAAAACATGGTCCCATTTTCTCCTTTTGTGTAGCTGGAGTGTGTTTAATGTTAATGAAAAGCCCCATTTTAAGTTTAGAGACAAAAATGTAGAACATAATGTTTGCATTACATGCAGATTTCATTTTAAATCAATTTTTTAAAAAACTGGCATAGAAAGAAAACTGAAGAAGAATAGCCAATTAACCTGATTTAAATTGTTTAAAAGCTCAGATCTTGAATTTAAAAGCACATAGAGACTTTAGTCTACCGTGGGAAGTGGCAGGACTGTTAATGTAAAACTAAAGTTGGAGAAAATGTTTGGAAATAAAAGTTAGAGAGCAATATTGCCTTGGCAAAGAAAGTCCTGCTGGGGAGACAGAGCCAAAGTTTCTTTCAAATCCTCTGGGTCTTTCCACTGACTTTCTTTAAACTTTGGATGAGGCCTCCCTGCTGAGCAATCTTTTCCATCTGTTAAGTTGTTGCTCCAGAATTTGAAACCTCCAGTGGTTCAGTTCCTGTTCATTTAAAACATTGTGAAAAAGAGAGAGAACCTTTTTTGAATTCAAGCCCAGTCCTGATTTCCATGTACCTAAAACCTTCTTTCTCCCGCTGAGGTTTCAGGATGCAAAAAGAATGCAGGGACTGGAGCTAATGTATATTCCATGCATGCAGAGGCGCCCCTCCCCTCCCCCTATCTTGTTTGAAGAACCGGTTATGGTCCAGACAAGGGAATGGAATTCAACACTCCTGTCTCTTTCTCAGAGGGATGCTATGACAACGGGCAGCACTATCAGATAAACCAGCAGTGGGAGCGCATTTACCTGGGAAGTACGCTGGTCTGTACCTGCTATGGAGGAAGCAGAGGGTTCAACTGCGAAAGCAAGCCTGAAGGTAAGTTGAAGACATTTTCTGACATAACAGCTTCTGAGGAAGCCAAGTGTTTAAAGGGAGTGGGGGGGAACCCAGTTGCTAGACATATAGATGTATGTATAGAATTACAATGCATGTAAGTCTGAGAAAAGGCAGCATGTGGTCAGCACATTTCACCTCTTGGTGAGGTTGATCACTTATCCATTTCTACACATTTAGAGCTTTTGAAATTTACATTCTTGGACTACATAATCTTCCCCCTGGTGGCTGAGCCATTCTCAGAACAGTAGTCACAAAAGTAACCTTTCTAAGCTCCTTCGAAAAGAAAGGGGAAAAATGAAGCCTCCGCAGCTGTACCTCTGCGGACTAGGTGCCAGGGCAGAGGAGAAGGCAACAAGGCAGGGCTCATTGCGCTCTGGGTTTGAGACCCTTGGAAGCTTCGGAGGAGACAAGGTGAGAAGCATGGCTCTGGACAAGAGTTTGCCTATCTTATATTTTTGGAGCACCACTCCCAGAAACCTCTAGCCAGACTTTGCTTTGAACCAGATAAGCCCTCCATCTGATCTGGTGGGCTTGCCCTTATAATTGTGGGCGTTGGGTACTCTTTGATTCAGAGAACCAGTGGCCTTGAAAATACAGGGTGTGAAAGAGTTCTGAAGAGGACTGAAATAAATGAAAAGGAACTTTGGGGAAAGTTGATTAAAGAATAGGGAACATGTGGTGAAAGAGGAAAAATGTTGGCTGATGTTAGGGGAACAGCTTGAAGGGGGGAGAATATTATAGTTCAGTGGGACTTGCTCCTAGGGAAGCATGTGTAGGATAGCAGCATAAGCTAGCTATCTTTCAAGATACTCTATTTAATGAAACAATTAGTTGTGAAATGGGTGTTCAGGGAGTTCTACAGACAAAAATATGCAAATATTTTGAGAGTTACTGTTAATGAAGAAATAGATGTTAATTTTCATTTTGAATGATGATGAAACAGGTTTCTAGCTCTCTTTTCAGCATTAAAATCATCAAGGAGATTGCAATACAGTTTAAAATAAAAACAACAACAACTTCTCAAACCATAGAAAAACAACAGCAATAATAATAATTGTGTGCCATCAAGTCAGTTCTGAGTGATGGTGACCTTTTCCAGGTTTTTCTAGGCAGAGAATACATGGAATTGGTTCTCCATTTCCTTCTTTTGGGGGCAAACTGGGACTGTGCAGCTTCCTCAAGGCCATACAAGCTGGCTCTTCTCCCAGGAGACCCAGTGGGGAAATCAAACTCCTAATCTCTGGCTCCATAGATACCTAAATCCCTGAGCTAGCCAGCCAAAAATAACAAATCATTAAAATTACAAAGTAGTAGTAACAGATAAGATGTTAATGTTTCATTAAAAAAGGCCAATTCAGGCTACAGTAAGTGAGTCTTTTTAAAATACTTCAAAAAGATAGCAAAGAGCAGGTCGTTCTCACTTCTCACAGGAGGGCAATGCAGAGATGCAGGGCTGCTACACAAAAGCCCTTGTACCTGGTAGTCACCCTAACCAATCTCACAACTCACTCATTGGCGAGAGAGCAGGGCCTTAGAGGTCAATCATTTTAGGCAGGTGCATGTTATCCTTCAGATAAATGGCCACAAACTATTTACATATTAGTATTGAAATGAGATTAGATAGCCCTGGTGATACATTCTAATGTTATGAAGGTTCTGGGACTAAGCATTTGGCAGATTACTTCTTATCGCCTTAAGCTTTCCTCACTTAACTTCTATATCTCATGATCATCTATCACTTGCCCCTCTGTCCATTCTCTCTTTGTGTTCTCCCCTTCTCCTCAGATGCTTCCCATTTCTTTTCCTCCTCCTCCTCCTCCTCTTCTCTCTCTCTGTCTCTCTCTCTTCCGCCAACTCCCAGGCTCCCTTGGCTTTCCTTGATAGGCTTCCCTTTCCGCCTTCTGACTCCTGGCTTCCTAGGATTTGAGCATCTGGGAGTCAGGTAGAAACGTTTCTGGTTCCCTGGCCTTCTGGCCCAGCCAGTTTCTGCTTTAGGCATCTGCTTTAGGCATCACCTATTTATGTAGAGCATGGAACTCTGAATTATAGGATGTTTTTTAAGCCACAAACTTCACATTTTACTATCTTTTTGTCCCTCCAGCGGAAGAAACCTGCTTTGACAAATACACGGGAGGTACTTACCGAGTAGGGGCAACCTATGAGCGGCCTAAGGATTCCATGATCTGGGACTGTACCTGCATTGGGGGTGGCCGTGGGAGAATCAGCTGCACAATTGCAAGTATGTATCATCAGGCTGCTTTGCAGAGATGCTTAAATGTTGTGCTAAATGATAGCCCCTGCTGCTGGAGCATCAGAAATGCCAATCGATCTCTGTTCAAATAGCAGCATTGGAATATGATGCTGTAGGACTTGATGGAATCTGCCAGATTCTCAGCTCACCCAGAAACGTAACATGGGATACAAGATGCTCTTAGCAGAAAACAATATTTGTCTCTTGACAGGAATAACTGAACAATCAATGTCCACACTTGTAAGCACTGTGAAGAAAAACAAAGGGACTTTGCAGTAATAAACTTGATTAATAAGTGCTTGCCTCTTATACATAGCAGAATATTTTAACTCAAAGTGAATCCTCTTTTCTTTAAGAGTTTCACATGTCAAAGTGAATTTGACATGTTGAATTTTTCCCTCTTGAATGATTGTTGTACATTTTCATGTGGGGTAGGGAATTTGAGTTAGAAACATTGGTGAATAATAACATTGCTAAAACAACAATAAGGCCGGAAAAGTTTTATGGGCACTAATTGCAACAAACTTTGTCACAAACATAACGGATGTTGATCCAGAAAGTAAGTGAAGGAATCTCTCATGTTAATAGACAAATGCCAGGTAGTGGTTATTAGACATACCTTTGCGTTATGTCATGCTTGTTTCCATTGTCTATTATTGAAATGGCTCAAAACTCCATCTAGGTACTTCTCCATTGTGGGGAAAGGTTACTGTTCTGCAGTAAATTCTGTGCTTAGCATGGAGAACGTCCTAGATTCCATGTCTTGTTAAAAGGATCAGAAGTACCAAAGCTGGAAAATTATTTTGTTAAGATCTCAGAGAGGTACTTTCAACCACAGTGGACGGTATTGGACTTGATGGTCCCGGGGTCTGATTTAGTATCGTAAGGCAGCCTTGCTATGTTCACGTATTTGATTTTCACAGATCGCTGTCATGAAGGGGGTCAGTCATACAAGATTGGTGACACCTGGCGGAGGCCTCATGAGACTGGTGGCTATATGTTAGAGTGTGTGTGTCTTGGCAACGGAAAGGGCGAGTGGACTTGCAAGCCAGTTGGTAAGTCCTGCTTGTTGTTTCAATAAGCGTTCTTTTTGGTGATTGGTACAGGTGGATACTGAGTTTAAATCTTAGCTGTCCCACTAATTATGATGATATACATATGTACATAGGCACATTATTGGTGCAAATTCTGATGTCATTGGCCGGATATATTGGCCAAAATACTATTTGCTTAGTGAAATAAATTGCACTAGAGTAGGCGGATTGAATCAATGGGGATTTAGTGAGTCAACTCATCGGTTAGTTCCATTGATTCAAATGGGTCTACTCTAAATGTGACCTACTGTGTTAAAGTAAGCTGCAGTTACAGTAGGCCTGTTTGAATCAATGGCATTTATGAAGGAGTTGACTCACTAAATCCCCATTGATTCAGTGAGTCTACTCTAAAGCGATTTACTGCGCTAAGCAATAGGATTTGGGCCAGGAGAGGCAGAAACAATCTGATGTGTAGCTGGTAGAAGTGTTAGGCCTATTTCTTACTAAAGTGATATTCTGAATCTGAAACTCATTATTTCTCACTGAATTGGTCAGTTGTGCATGTGAGAGTTCACATAACTGAATGTTTCTCTATACAAAAATACTTCCTTGCACTTCAAAAACTAGCCACCCAGAGTGGTAGAATATATCAGATGGGCAGGATATAAATCAATTAAATAAATAAATAAATGATAGTTGAGAAGGGAAAAAACACTCAAGCTAAGCCTTGCCTTTCCCATTCAGTGTTTCATTCATAGTCAGTGAGAACTCTCTGTGTGGACGAGTATTCAGTCCTGTGATTTTGACAGGTTATTCTTCATTTTGTGAATTGTATCAATGAGTATACACTGTATACTTGCTATATTGTTTATATATATATATATATGACATTCATAAGCTGACACGTAACAGAATGTTCTCTGTGTAGCCTACCATAAATAAATCTAGAAACAATTTAGATGCAAAGCAGGATATAAAATTGTAAAATCAAAAGTAGTGCAAAATACAGCATGAAACAAAATGGAAGGCAACCCTAGAATCAGGAAGACAGATGTTGGAGCTGCGTGGTGTGGCCTGCATGTACTTTCCATAGGGAGTTTTCACCTATCCCTTGTGTGAGTGCCGTTGGGAAGGGGATTTCTTCCTCCCTGCCTCAGTTTGAGAAACCTGGCCTCGTATTTCTGCAAGCAAATTCTAGAAATACAATAAGATTATTTTCTTCACACCTTTCAACATTAATTCCCTGCAGCCGAGCGGTGCTATGATAATTCTGCGGGGACTTCATATGTTGTTGGCGAGGTCTGGGAGAAGCCCTATCAAGGCTGGATGATGGTGGATTGCACTTGCTTGGGAGAAGGCAGTGGCCGCATTACCTGCACATCCAGAAGTAAGTATCAACTCCCAGGCAGGAGGGCAGCATGAATTATGCCTTCTCCTGCTAGTCATCCTCCACTAGTCCTGAATGAAGTAGGACCTGAAGTCAGCAATCTTGCATTCACACTTCCTTGGGAATAAGCCCTTCTAGGTAAAAATCCATAGGCTTTTGCTATCCTGGTTGGCTGGGCATGATGGAAGTTGTCATGGAAAAGAGGAGGGGCACTGTTTCGGTGAAGGCTGATCAAGTGCCACATGGCTTAAGATCACCCTCAAACTGGAACAAGTTGACTAAAACCCTGTTGCCTAAAAGTGGAGCAGAAGGGAAATCACAGGAAGAGGCGGGCGGCAGAACCTGCCCTCAAAGTACAGTGGTGCCTCGCTAGACGATGATAATCCATTCCACTGAAATCACTGTTTAGCGAAATCATTGTCTAGCGAAAAGCATTTCCCCATTGAAATGCATTGAAACCTGTTTAATGCATTCCAATGGTGAAGAATTGTCGTGGTCTAGCAAAGATCGGCCATAGGAAAGCCGCTTTGCGAACCGCCCATCAGGTGTTTAAATCGCTGTCTTGTGAAGCTTAGGTCCTGAAAACACCTGTTTTGCAAGCACGGAGGAAGCTGTCAAAATCGTCATCTAGTGAAAATCAGTTTGCGAAGCAGGGACCAAACATTGTCCAGCGAAATTCCCCCATAGGTATCACTGTTTTGTGAATCGCTATAGCGATCGCAAAAAGTCAATGTCTAGCGAAAAAACTGTCATGTGGGGTAACTGTCTAGCGAGGCACCACTGTACAGCAGGCTGGAGCATCGCAATGAAAGGCCCTTGGATTCCCTGCATGCTAGAGTGGCCTCCTGTTTCAAAGGGACTGCCTGCCCCAGCCTATCAGCTTGCCAGCACATGAATTGGGGGCGGGGGGAGGCAGCAAGCCCTTGGGTCCTGGAAAAGAAACCATGCCTGCTTGCTTTTGAAGATGGCCTAAACTTAGGACTCACACCTCAAGCCTCGAGATCCGTGCTTGGACTTGGGACTCGGTCCTGTCAGTAAGTAAAAGTCGTTGTGGTTCAGACTTCATTGTGTTCACTCTGAAGACTTTTTCCTGGATACTAAATTAGGTTAACTTAAGAAGATTCCTGATAGGGAATCTCACCTTCTTCCTATGAAAAGCTTCTGTAAAGGATATGGATCTCTCTTGAGCCACATGGGAGATGACATGGGGGGTGGGGGTGGGATAGGGTTCCTGGAGTGAAGGGACTGGCAAGCTTTTTGTCCATGAACCACTTAAGCTAAATTATCTTAACATCCCACATAAAGCACAAGATTAAGGCTTAAGCATTTCAAACATCACCCAGCCTGACCCCTCCCAAAAGTTTATCTAGAATGTTCCCTGTTGCTTTCTTATCAGCATGTAGATATATGGCCCTCTGTTCTTTGGCTTGTGGCCTCTGAACAGCCCTGCAATGAAGTGCTTGTGGTTAGAGGGGGGATCCCCAGATACGGAAGCTGTAATGACATCCATAAGACCCATTTATATTCCTCAGTGTGAATTGAAAAAGAAACTTTGCAGGAAAGATTTCCTTTTTTTAAAAAAAAAGGGGGGGTTCCACATATAAGAACAATTAAAGCCTCTGTGATCTGAACTGGAGAACATCTGGTCTTTCAAATATTTTGTTTGGTAAATTTTGAGATCATGTCTTTTAGTTTTGCATTGAGGCTGTTACTGTGAAATACAAAATTGATGGGTTTTTTTTCCACAGAGATAAGCAATGGGATTATTTATTTATTTAACTTATTATTATGTAGAATAAACTCTCCAACTAGTTCTGAGCTCTCATTTTAAAGCCATCAGTGGTGGCCATCTGTTTATACTTTCCATCTGTCTTGAATCTTGCTGTGGAAAAAATGCATATTAATGTCCAATAGTGAGAAAGGAAAGATGGGATTTTTCAAAGTGCCAGGAAAAGGGTGTGATCTTAAGATGATGTAGGCCATGTGTTCCATCACGCAGTCCATCAGTGGATATAGTAGGACATTCCATGTCTCCCCCTTACTAGTGTTTTACAAACTGAATTCTGCAAATCTAAAATCAAAACTTGTAGATGTAATACATAGGGTAAATGACTGATAGCCAACAGGGTGCATTAAGAGCATGCGGGCTTTACAATATTATTCCACAAGTTACTGCAACTATCCTGTAAAGTAGGCAATTATTGCTCTTTACACAGGGCTGTGATTGTACAAAGTGAAAGATTGGTGACACTAGTTTGGTTTATAGGGCAGATTAGGTTTTGATTCCCATTTTGCATTGAGCAACTTTTTATTTGTAGACTGTGCCTCATCTGTACATGGCTGATCTATCACTTGGTGTATAATTTAGGCTGATCCAGGGGGGTTGATGATTAACAGATTTTCCTAGAGTGTCTAGCTTCTGTTAGCTCACTTCACAGAGCCTTTTAGCCAGACACAAGAACAAACCACGGCATTTTGTGCCCAGGGAAGCTACATGGTGTAAGGGTTGTTTCTCAGCATTGCATGTTTTGAGAAATGTTTTCCAGCCATGCTTCTTCTTATCCACAAACTTGGTATGTGAAGCCACACAGACCAGTTTCCTGGCAAGCACAGTATTTCATCAATCTGATCTCATTCCATTCCCACATGTTGTTGTTGTTGTTGTTGGTGGTGGTGGTGGTGGTGGTGGTGGTGGCCAAAGTACAGCAGCTGAGTAACTGTTAGGAGTGATTCAGAAGTCACCTTCCACCAAAGGCTATGGCAGGGAATAAGAGACATTCCTTAGGTCCAACATCGCTGAGGGAGCAGGGCATGGGCTTGTATGTCTCAAGGGGGCTTCATCTGTCAGGCACAGGAAGCAGACAGAAAAGATTTTCCTCAGGTTGCATCTTTCCCAGGAAGGTTGTGTGAATGGTACAGTACAGGGGGTTCTTAGTGGGTGAGCTGTTCAGAGAGGCATGGGGTGGGGTGGGAATAATGCATAAGAAAAAAATTCACAAAGCTGTTTGTGGTGGGAAGAGAATAGAGGCCCATGGATCTTGTCTTTTCAAATGACTTTTCTCTTACAAAGCCTCTTGACTGTATCCTGTTGCAGAGTAGGCGAAAGCAATGCACTTACTGTATAATAATACAAATACTGTATATAAAT